ATTAACACAATTGTCTATTACTTAAACACATCTAAACGTGCCCTAAATGTTTCAACAGTTTGGACACTTTGTCGGTCTTTTTTCGCTTCGTTGGCTTCGGTGGATCTTCAACTTCAGCAGTTCGTTCAGGTTCAAATTCTTCATCAACAGTAGCCTCGGGTTGAACAGGCATTGGTGGAAGAGGCAGTCCGCGTTGTTTACAATTTGTACGATAACCCCGGAGTGGAACGACGCAGGGAGTGCAACCAGGCGCTCCAAGTGCTCGTCAAAGTCATCGCAACCACCTTTTACAATAGTATATCAGTAACATCATGATAAACTATGTTACCATTTTGGCTTGTTGAGTTGTCCGATGTGTCACACTTGTCATCAATGTAGCATGACAAGTTTACACCTTCGCGCTCCTCAAAGTGTTGTCGCGGCTGCAGCGGGTTCCTTGCCCCGTCCCAATCAATGCTATGGGCATGTTCCTCTGATCTGTGCTTGATCAAGTGCTTAACTATGCTATCTTTTCGATAGCTGACGTTTGACTCTCCACATAACATACACGCCCGGGTCTCTTTGTTGTAGTCCCTTTTGCGCTTGCCATCCTTCATCTTTGCCACGCAATGCTGTACTTCGATCCTATTTTTGACAATACTAGTAACCTCAAATAAGGATACACGTCCGGATATCGCTTAACCGGACCATGCGCTGGAGGCGCATGCGCCTAAAACGAGAACCCCATCTGGATAGACTGCTGTGGCAAGGTCTGACTTCGTTGGCCAACAGTGTAAATTCAATGGGAATAATTATAAAGATTACATGCTTATTGTAGTTTTAAGTATGTTGAGAAGTGCTTTCGTATATTAATTTTGATTATATTAAGGTTTGGAGGGTGATATCTTGACCGAAAAGTCCTATGATAGGGCTTTTCGGGGCCGAACTTATGTTTGGACTTATTGAGACCCCCATAAAACCAACGGGTGGGAGTATAAGTCCAAAATTGGTCCTATCTAATGGTTATTTGTATACATCAGACCTTTAAGTCTGACGAGTGGAGATGCTCTGAATTAATGGTAGCGTAGTTGGAGGTAGTGGCCATATGGTAGTAGTAAGCTTACTCCAGTGTAGTCAATTAGCGTCGGAATATTGACTAACATATAGGTGGCATCCGACATCAAACCGACAAATTTGGAGCCGATGATTGGATAACCGACAAATTTTTGAATTATGATTGGTCAGATATTTTATAGGCAATCTGATTGGGCGATGTAGTTGTCGGTTGAGCAACATATCACTCACATATAACATATACAGCTTGCTATTGGCTGAAAACACAGTCGTATCGACATACTTCGGAACA